AATCCGTAATAATCTTACTTCTTGAGGTGTTGCGGGTGGCTGCGATTATTGTCAAAAGCGTTTCTACTGCGATTCTGCGGGAACCTTGATAAAAATGACTGCGATCGATGAAGATTTGATTCGATTATAAACGATGCAAAGAATTTCTCGCAGGAATCCTGTAGTAGATACTCTTGAGTACCGTAAATTAAAATACCTACACATCTCACTATTTACAACGGAATGGATTCATTAGCAATGCGCTATGGCCACCTGTGGATTAAATTTTGTAATAATTTGCTGCAGAATCCATTTCTCCGACTCTAAGCCCTACGAAAGTGGTCAGCCTTAATCCCCAGTATCAATATGCGGATTCCTAATGTGACCGATGCTGGAGCAGAGGAAGCACGCTCAAGAAACAATACACTTTGAATGAATGATAAACACTCGCTCTTCAAAAAGTAGAGTTAACTTTCGAAGAATGGCGATATTGAACACGAAGTGTTGACAATTGTTCAAAGGATTTAGTCATGCGTTGTACCGTTTCCTCCTTGGTGACTCAAAAACAGGCCACAATTATTTTGTCACCATATCTATGCCCCACCCTGTACATAGCAGCAAACCAATGCATTCCTTACACTATAAACGAATCAGTTCTTGCAGGTAAACTGCCGAATGATGCTGCCAACATAATGACGGACTTTCTGTGAATAATTCTGTTTTTTACATTTTCTCCGTACTTCAATACATACAATTTAACATTCTTGACTATCGATAGCAAAATGATCAAACCAGCGTCGGCCACCTTTCCATACTAAGAGCTGAGTTCTGGTTGAGTGAACTACCGAAAACTCGCTTGATTACTTGGATTACTTGAGTTACTTGGCTACCCGTTATCAGCTACGATTATTCTTGCGCGGGTCCCAACTTCTTTTCCACGATGTTCTATCTTGAGCCAATGTCGTCCAATGGACTAATACCTTAATTGAATTAGAATCGCAAATATTGTTTCTGTGAGCAAGAGAGTCTTGCCATCGCAGAGGGGGCCGACCGCGAGGTCGTTTCCTGTCGCGAGGTTCCCAGCGCACAGTTGTAGTGCTCCAACGTCCGTCGTCTCGCCTAATAAGATGTCCAGCAAAAGTGTGTTTTGCCTTGTCGATATGCGAAATGATATCGCGAACTTTGGACATCGAACGTATGTCTTCGTTGTGTAATCTGGCGATCCGTTGTTGATGTAGGGTTACACCAACCATTCGACGCTCAAGTGAAGCTTGTATCCTTCGTAGCTGGTTTCCAAATTTTTCGTTAGGGACCAAGTTTCACTCGCGTAGCTCAGGCTGGTAGTACTGTGGAGTTAAACAGGGTTGCTCGCAGTTCATCGTCTCTGGTATTTTCGATCACATTTTTGACTGAATTGTACGTTGCCCAGCCAGCTTTTTTCCTCCTTACTATTTCGCCTTTTAGGTCGTTTTTCATGTTAAGCAGTCGGCCAAGATAAACATATTCATCGACATCTTCCAGAGCTTCACCCTGTAGGAAAACAGGATCTCTGTCTGAGTACTCATTCCTCATGCACTTCGTTTTATTCATGTTGATGTTTAAACCGGCTTTTGTTCCTGCTGCATGTAGGTCACTGAGCATTTGTGAAGCTTGTTCTGAAGTTCTTGAGATCAGTACTATGTCATCGGCAAATCTTAGGTGATTTAGATATCTTCCATCGAATTTTAATTCCCGTGACATCCCAGTCGCAGTTACGTATAGTGAATTCCAGGCAAGCAGAGAATAGATTCGGGGATAATGGGATCTCCTTGGCGGACTCCTTTTTCCACAGTCACCTCAAGAATCGCGAAAGAAAACATTGTGCTACATCCAGAGTAGCATTCACTCAAGATTTTCGTATAACGGAGTTCGACGCCTTGTTCATTGAGAGCTGACCATATCTTTTCTCGCTCTACTGAATCGAATGCCTTTCGATAGTCAATGAACGTTAGTATCAGTGGTTCGTGATATTCTCGAGCAGCTTCAATAATTCTACAGCAGGTGATAATGTGATCCAAAGCTTTCGTCGAAATCCTGCCTGTTCCACCGGTTGTGCTTCGTCAAGTTTCTTTCCTATACAAGCGAGAAGGCGCGTAAACACCTTGGTCGATAGTTTTCCAAATCTTCCTTATCTCCTTTTCTTCAACAGCAGAATTGTTTTAGATTTTCTCCATGCGGCTGGCACTTCGCATTCTTGAACGTAACGAGTGAAACGTTGAGCTAAAGCACAATAGAACTTTATGACCGCATGCTTGTAAGGCCTCCAAGGATAAACCATCAGCTCCTGGAGCTCTTCCTCTCGGCATTGTTTCGATTGCGCAACGAACTTCTGATGGTAAAAACGATGGCACCGTTTCGCCAATTGGTAACTGTTCAGTGGAGGTGCCGTGATCTGATTTGAAGAAGGTTTGAATAGAAATTCGTCAGCACCGATTCCATTTCTGGCCGAGACGTAGTCCATCAGGGCCTCTCAGACAAGAAATATTAAGGCGTTGTGCCAGTTCTCGTTTTGTTTTCTTCATGCTACGTTTGTTGGATGCGGCTTCTAATAGACGGCAGCGGGAGAAATTCCTGTGGTCTTCAGCGAGTTTTTGTCTGCAGAGCCGATTAAGCAATGTGTATTCAACATGATTTTGATGTCGGTCCATTTGTCTCCTCTGCGCTAGAAGATTCCGGGTGGTATCCGATATTCTACGGGAGTTGTGATTGGGAGCCAGAATGCGCGATTGTGAGAGCAAGCGTGGAGATTGTGTTCCGAAGGTGGTCGTAGTCTTCATTTATATCTGTTTTTCATATCCAAAGACACGTCGTCTATCCATCGCCTTCAGCGCAGCTGCATCAAGAATAGTCGCCCGCGGTTGTCTTGATCGTATACGTGTCAGGCGCACATGACTTCGTTCGAAGTGCAGTCTTGCGCGTAGAAGTCGATGATCGCTTCCGGTATTGAATGATGGGACTACTCCAACATCTGTGATGGCCCTTCTGCTGCATAGGATATGGTCGAGTTCGTGGTAATGCTGCCCATTCGGGGACTCGTATGTCCATCTTTTCATCGGTGCTTTAACGAACTGACTATTCCGTGATACATGTGATGTATCTCGCAGAAATTTGCCAGCCTTTCTCCAGCTGTATTTCGCTCTTCTGCACTGTCAAAATGTTCTGCTGATCTTCTTGATTCAACTCGTGCACTAAAGGAAGCGGTCACGCTGGCTTCCACGCTGCATTTGCTATAATCGCGTTGTCAATCGATAAGGTGTGAGGCATAGCGCGTTGAGTGACACTGCCCGTCTGCAGGTTTTTAGGGGTATATTGGGATATGAATGGATTGCGCGAGGTTGTAACTAGTGTTTCACTCTAGCCCATCGTCCAGTGAAAAGAGGATTCCACGATAAGATGGAATGTCGAAAAAGTGGAAAATTACCTAGCGGAAAAACACGCGGTTTCCCTAAGACGGCGGACGAGAGGCAATTAGCAGCGAAGGATATGCCTCCGGCAATCTGCCATAGCTCTTCCCGAGGCGGTATCGACGGCTACGGCTCTGTTTGACCTTCAGCCGTTCAGTAGAGAGACTGTTGGTGTGGAAGAGGACAGCACTGTTGCATCAACTTGGGAATAAGCGCTTAGAAGGTGGTCCCATTTATCGGTTCTGGACCGCTTCTTATGGTTTCTTTTTCATTCCTGAAGCATTGACCACTTCTAGCTCCGGGATAAAAAGGGCTCAAATATCGATGCTGCCCCTATTGCCTAAGAATAGTGATAGTCGTAGTGACTGCAATTGACAATGTGTCTCCAGAAAATTGGAGTAAGACTCATTCAATGCGTAGAGAGGCTCTCGGGAAGTTCTATTTGATTTCTAGAGAAAACCCTCATGGGAATTTGTTTGCTGTTTTTGTCGGATGGGAAGTAACGGCGCTAACGGAGGCCAGCTACAGTTTTCCTGCGAGTTGGGGGTTGGGAGGGGGAGGGTGTATAGCACTTGTCGTTTTGACCGAAGCTCCTCCACACTGGTCTTACCTTGCTAAGGCTGTGTCACGTAACATCGTAACAAACTTAGCCCTTGCACTACAGCGACAGACGTCGTTCAGAAACGGGATTTGTAGTCGGGAGGCAGCTTCTTAGAACGGACCAAAATGATTTCCGCATTGATGCGACTCTCACCGACTCTCTGCTCTTCTCTTCAACGCTAACGCTCTCTCTGCTAAACGGCTAGAGACCTGCGGCGAGTGGTTAGCCAGTCGGTGGGCGTACCGCGCCGATAGCGCCGCGGAGAGGGCCATGCTAGATCGCCGGGGGCATATCCTTTGCTGCGAACAGCCTGTCGGCTCGCACCCTGGACCCGCCTGTGTTTCCATCAGGTAGGTGCCCCTTACTTTAACCTTCGACCCTATAGTAAAATCCTCCTTCAATGAATGAAATATCCTCTTGGAATCAGGTATGTGAAGAGTGCAGATTACACAAGGCAAATGACAACGGTTCCAATCTGAATCTCATAACCATTGATCCATAGTGATATAGCTGGTAGTTGGTAAACGACACCTGATCTGAAAACGCTTGCATTTCGTGCAGGCCGTCGTCACTTGCGTCATGTAGTCTGCACTCGACAAACACAGGGTTTTCAGAGACAGAATATAGAATTTTTAACAACAATTTTAATCATACATAAACACGATGTTTACATTACGGCTTCGTTACAAAAAGGTGAATGCTATAAATTCTTCAGGGCCACAACGAAGACCACCACTACCACTCCCACCACAACTCGAAGAACGACCACACCTCCGACTACTACAACTACTCCCCCAACTACGACGACACTCCCTCCTACAACAACAACTCCAACAACCACAACTCCGACTACTACAACGACACTCCCAACCACGACGACCCTCCCGCCTACAACAACAACTCCAACGACCACCCTAGTTCCCACTACTACAACATTCGTCCCGACCACCACTACTTTAATTCTAACGAGTACTATGATGATCACCACCACTTCAATGCAGTATGTAGAAACATCTGCAAGGCCGACAGCTTTCGGTAAAGATTCAGCCACTTCCACAACGTCTGAGACTTCAGCTGAAGTTGACTATGGTGACACGACGGAAGAGTCTCATACAACACATACAACCGAAAGACCGAAGGTGAGTTTCAATTTACGGGTAAAATGCTTTGGAAACGAAGCGACTTTGGCGCCTTCTGTAATGGATCGGCTCATATGTATTAGCAATCGAAACGAGAATAAGTGGACGTAGCAATCAGAGCTTCAAGTGCGAGGTTCCTCTAGGTGTCGTTGAGTGAACGCGATTCCTGTCTCGTCACCTCTAGTATATGTCACAGCGAAATTCTATCACAAAAACGTTTCATGAACGCTTATCGAGAGGCTGAGGCTTGGAGGGCTTTAGTATTATGTCACTTCAGAAGCGCTCCTTTCAAATTTAGACGCAGCTTTTTGAATGTGGGGTAGAGCTGTCCGGTGAAAATCCAGTCAGAAGCAGACTTCAACAATATCTCATCGAAGTGACAAATCTGATCAAAGTGGAGTTGCGGAAAGGCACTCATACATACTTACTCAGATACTTAGACGACCCGTCCTCTGCTTGGCGGTTGGCCTTGCGCGGGTCCCAACTTCTCTTCCATCGTTCTCGGTCTTGAGCTATGGTTGTCCAATGAACAGACACCTTAAGGGACACGGGATCAAATACGTTGTTGCGATAAGCTAGAGAGTCTGCCCAACGTACTGGAGGACGGCCGGGTGGCCGTTTCTTTTTCGCACTCATACATAATTAAACATAATCATCATAAATCCCGCTGAGACGGTGGCCTAGGATGGCTACGTCACACATTTGAAGGCAAACCCCAGGATTAGCCCGACTTCATAGTGGGAAGGATACCGCTAGGAAAATTGTGGGGTTTGTACCTACGGAGATCATGCTGGCTTCATTGCCCAAATTGCGCAATTAGAGCGCTATCGATTGCGAACCTGCAATCATAGACCCCCTTACAAAGCTTCCCACCCACCCATATGATCAGCGATTGATATGAATATGATGATATGATTGATATGATATGACATCAGCGCGCTCGAACGGTGTGTTCTCTCATGCGTTTTGTCCTCTTTGGTCGCACTGTCTCGCCATCGTAACATATCCGACGTCACTGTAGGTTGAAGCCCTTTTGGCGATTCTGATGATTTCTCCTGCTTTCCTTTCCACTCACTCATCCCGCAGCTCAATCGCCTCTACGAAGCATTCTTATATACCGGTTTCATCCCGGAATTGGATTTAAATATTTAATTGTTACCCTCATCTATTAATCTATAGCGAAAATGGCTTTCCCTGGCCCTGGCGGCTCTTCGCGCTTTTACTATGTTCACCACGTAGTCGGAACGAAGAGGTAAGTTGAAGGAGGATTTCTACGACTGGTCGGCCGATTTGAGATATCCTCATCCAATCGTACACTCAGAGCCTGTGCTCCGAATGTTGATTAGATATGAATGTCCTACCGTAATTCCGCTTTGAAACAAGAGATTACGATAAAGTGTGTGCAGCGTGGAAGTACATGCACCAGTTGGAAGCAGTAGTCAGGGGCCCAAGGAAACGAAATGTTGCGTTTTTGTGGTCAAAGGTGCGCTAGCTGCAGCGTACTGGCTTGCCATTCCTTTCTGAGCTCCGCCACGCCTGTGCTCCGCCCCCAGCAGCAGCGCCCTTCGATTATCATTTTGATGAGGTATTCCACTGTGAGTGCGTATCCTATAACTTCCCCATGGAACGTGTTACCAAACATAATGGCCTCTGCTGATATGATGGTGGTTATCGGTTTAACACGTTGACGACAAGCTTCGCACCGCATCGGACATTCTGACGCGCAAGCGCGTCAAGTCTATGCTACTCACTTTTATCGTGCTTGCGCTCCTTCCTCTCGGGTTTCTTGTATTCATTCTATAGATAATACATTAGCATGACTATAAACCGCTTGGCAGCTAGAGTGGTCAAGTATCTTTTGATTAAAGCCACGAGTCAGGATTAGGTGACCATAGAAGGCCTTTCCATCACTAATATTTCCAGGAATGCGCTCAGAGGGGTGATGCCACACTCCTGACTCGAGATTGCGCGCCGTCAAGGCCTCTGGCCTACTACTTACAGCGATGGGTTCGTTTCATCAGCTGGTCCCGCCCACCGCGGGATGTGGTGCGTGGCTGGCCTAACGTGTGAGATCAGCTAGGTTGATTGCCGTATCAACCGATGGAACGGCTGGCATATCCGGAAAACTCGTTTGGACGTGGCTCTCCCCCGAGCAAGCCTCCTTCACTGCTAGAAGGGAAGGGGTTTCGATTTCGGTCTTGTCGACGGTTTCTTTGCGTTTTTTCTTCACTGTCGTTCCACCTCCCATCTCTACACTCAATTTCAGGCGCCATAATGCCCAAACACGAGCCTGACTTTTGCCTTTAAGCAAAGATTTTCCGAACGCACAAAACTTTCGTTCCGATTCTTTCTTAATAATACTTTCACTGCCGTCAATATTCTTATGAAAGATTTTAGAGTTAGTTGAAACAAAACTCTGTGAGTTTCAATATATTTGATTTGATGGGAGTACTTAGATATAAATGCTTTTAATTTCATTCGCAGCGAAAGTGATGTTTTTTACTTCTTCGTGGTCATTATGCGCTCTTCTAAACAAAAACCTACTGCTACTTATATAGTTAACCTTTGTGCGATTCATCCTTGCCGAAATAGTCCTATGAAATTCAAGTTATTGTGCATTTTTAACAAAAAATAAGCGTAAGTAAGGTGAGGACGGCGCGGTCGCAAAATCGCTCCTGTCCCACGAGGTGCAAAATGCCAAAACATGCGATGTCGTCAACGTGTTAACATGTGCAAAGACCTCTGAATTGGTTGCTAGCTCGTCCATTATCGGAGGTCAACGGGCAAAGAAAGGGGTCCCATTTTGCGCCTTCTTGACGGATTTCTTTGCTTTTTTCGCCACTGGGGCATTATTCAGCATCCCCACTTCCATATGAAGAAATTTTAGAGTTAGTTGAAACAAAACTCTGTGAGTTTCAATATATTTGATTTGATGGGAGTACTTAGATATAAATGCTTTTAATTTCATTCGCAGCGAAAGTGATGTTTTTTTACTTCTTCGTGGTCATTATGCGCTCTTCTAAACAAAAACCTTTTGCTACTTATATACTTAACCTTTGTGCGATCATCCTTGCCGAAATAGTCCTATGAAATTCAAGTTATTGTGCATTTTTAACAAAAAATAAGCGTAAGTAAGGTGAGGACGGCGCGGTCGCAAAATCGCTCCTGTCCCACGAGGTGCAAAATGCCAAAACATGCGATGTCGTCAACGTGTTAACATGTGCAAAGACTCTGAATTGGTTGCTAGCTCGTCCATTATCGGAGGTCAACGGGCAAAGAAAGGGGTCCCATTTTGCGCCTTCTTGACGGATTTCTTTGCTTTTTTCGCCACTGGGGCATTATTCAGCATCTCCACTTCCACTATGAACCCAGTCCAAACTTATCGTAATCCCCGCTTTAATTAGTTATTGCCATTTTGATGAGATATATTATGAGTGCCCCCCCCCCCAACTGGTTCAGTAAAGTCGCAGAGTCGCGTAAATACCTGAAAAGATACATGATCTATAATAAATTCAAAACTGATCGGTCAACAAGCACTGATTGTATAATAAGTACGCGTCATGCGCCAGTACGCGTGTTGACCTCTTCGCAGGTCCGCACTGTCCGCACCGTCCGCACCGCGGTTCGGGAGCGCTTGCCCTCCAAATCCTCCAACACGGGGCAACGAGGTGGTCCGAGGCCCCGGGAACCTACGGGTTCCTGACCCAACTAACAACCCCAAAACATCCGCTGCACATGAAAACTGGGCCTTGATCGGGCCCCAGCCCTGGCGCTCCCCCAAGCTTACCCGTGCTGCTATACTTGTACACAACACTACACATCTTGGACTCACAGTTTATTGGCGATAACGTCCTTACGCACTACAACTTAACTTCCTGCCGAGCGTGGAGAAGCCCGGCCAACGCTTGTAGTCGTCCTCGCCCTCCAGCGGTAACAGCGGTAACAACTGCTAGCAGCCGATAGTGTCCTTCGAGTGTAGCGTGACACGAACTTGAAAGCGCACCGAGCGTACAGGACAGCATGGGTGGGTGTGTGGCGTTTGTCCTCCTGGGGTCAGGCTGCCGCCGCACGCGGCGATCGGGCTCGCCGCGTGTGCGGCGATTCTGCGATGTGGAGGTTAGTTGGTGTATCTTTTTTCAATAGGCATACACATTTGAGGAGTCAGTCAGTTGAACCCTTCCGCCGTTATAATTGTGGGCTGATCGTTGTTATAATTAAAGTATTGGATTGGTGGTTTGGTTTCTTTTTTGCCGTAGCCGTGCCGTTTTTTTGAGCCACTGTCAAAAGAGAACTTGTCAAAGCTTACGGCAAACAACAAAATAAAACATGTCAGAAAACGAAATGGATTCCGCAATCAAAACTGTAGGAGTGAAAAAGACTGCGCTAAGGATTAGACTTCATATGTGTGTAGGTATACCGCCCGTATTTCATGATCTACTCTCGTTCGCTGCCATTGGGAAGAACGGGTCAGTCAAATTAAAAACAAGTCACTCAAACAGCGCCTATGCCAAGAAAAGTTGCCTGTTTGGCAGAAAAAGGTCAGTCAAATTAACGACAGGTCACTCAAACAGCCAAAATAGGGTTGAAGAGGGCTAGAACCATATAATTCCAACCACTATTCGTACACAGGACTAAAAAAATGATTCCATAACTACAGACAACTAATGCAACCTATATAAAGCAATCCCAATTAGTTTTGAATGAGCAAACTCACCTCAATCCGTCAGTAAAACAATATCAGCCTAGCAAATATGGCAGTCTATCGATCGACAGCCCGATAACTTGGCAAAATGCCACAGATGGGCGGAGCGAACCGTCACATCGCCTTCGCCGCATCAATCGCCGCGCGCGGCGAGTGGAATCGCCGCGTGCGACGGCGCGGCGGCGGCCCCAGGAGGACAAACGCCCGTCTCCCCGGGTGCTAAGAGGCAGCCGTTCGATTTGCTCGTGTTGCCCTACAGTCGCCTCCCCCCGAAGTCGGCGAAGAACGCCAGCTGGCAGAGGCGTCCCCTTTATATAGGCCTCGTCTGGGGGCGTGGCTGAGGGCGGAGCATGCCTCGCTCGCCGGTGCATGCGCCGCCAACGCGACCTGCAGCGCAACAGAGTGCGGGCGCGCGCCACTTCGACCTAGAATCCCTCAAGTCATGATCTGCTGAGTGGGACGGAAGTATTAGTAGCCTCAAATGAGCGTTCAGCTCAGCAGTAGAATACAATTTGATTTCAGATTTGTGCTATGAATGATCGTAGTTCATGTTTATTGCAGGCTCTCGAATCGTCGGAACCGGCCATAGTCTTACCCCTCCAGCAATTGGAGTAAGTTGAGCATAAATAACGAAAACTTGCAATCTTATCAGAAAAAATGTAATGGTGCTAATTGCGAACAAGCGAGTGAAACTGTCAAATGTGAAGAAAGGGATTCACAGCAAATAGTTGAAGTTGAAATGGGCGGAGCCCAGTTGGGAATTGGGAGAATGTTGGGATTCGTAAATGAGAATGCTGCTGAGTTTACCCTCGCTTTAAGGTGAACAAATTTAAGTTCAGATTCCATGATGATGGAATCCAGCTATTCTGTCGGGTTGGCGATAAAAACGGCTTCTTATTGCCAGTCGTGCCGTGAACTTTTGCATGCAATGCCTTCTGCTGACCATGGGAGATTTAGATCACTGGTCGAAACTAGCCATTGGCACTTCCAGTTCTTTGGAGCTCGCAACTTTTCTGATAGGACCTTGACAAAAAACGTCAAACCTTCACAATTTTCCTAATCGTCTGGCTCATTACTGAGACGTCCGATCTTAACGGTCCCCTTCCATCAGTTGTGAAGCGAAGTTGCGAATATATGGCTCTGATGACCGTTCAAGTTGCCTAGTAGTGGATTGTTGGCGCACTGGGCTTCGAGATGCCCTTTGGAATTTTTAATCTACATAATCATCCCTCCGCAGGCCCCTAAAGCAAATGACCTAAATGCTTCAGCTATTTGAACCGCGTTGCTGCCAGGGAGGTGGGGTTTGGCCCGCACCTGTGAAGGTCAGCTCTTCTCATCTTCCATAACAACGCTTCAGTAGTTTGCATCCTGTTGAATGAATCTTGTAAATAAATAGCGCTGGCGGGTATCCTAAACCTTGTATTTTTCAGGCTAAGGTGAAAGCGCCAAAATGTCGGTTCAATAAAGTTTTTGTCAACCTATGGTTAAGCTTAGTTACTGTACTATCGTATCTTTACCACTCCCTTCTCGAAACTACTTGATTTTTTGGGAATTGGCCGAGCTCCTTCAGCGGCGCGCCGCGCTCTCGGCATCCAGCGCGAGTCGCGGCTCCCATCTACACCTCTGTAGGCTACCGCTCCTCTGCCGCTTGCGGATTCCGGCTTATACGACCCCCTCCCTCATACTGACTATAATAGGTCCTCCTCAAAGGTTCCTAAATACATGCTCTATGCGTCGAGCCGGGCACCTTGACTGGCAAAAAATCGCCCTATCACTGATTCGGCGGTAGGGCGATTATTGGCTGGTCAATGTGGCCTGCAACGGTAGCCACCAACACATCGGGGAAAGCTTAGGGAGCGATCCCCGCGAATCGCATTGGTTTTTCTCTTACTGTCAGACCACACAACGTCCCCATTCCGATTCCGATAGATGGAAGTTTTTAATCGCTGTTTCCAGTCATTCACAGATTGGTATTCAGGTTTGTCATCTTAGGAGTGTGCTTCCTCTTTTTCTTGTTCATTGTCGTCATAGTCATGCTCTTGCTGAGGAAGCTATGTAAGAAACGTAAGGTAATGGACGCTTTGCATAAAACTTGTCGTCCACAAATATGATGTCAGTTGTTTCTACAGTCTGACAAAGATGTCGAGGAAGCACCCAGAAGAGGCTCCAAATCAGTAGGGTCTAAAACAAAAGGAACTGCTTCAGCAAGCAAAATATCAGGATCAAAAGAAACCATTCCTAAAGAAAAGGCATCAAGATCAAAAGAAATTGGATCTAAAGAGAAGGTCCGGTCGAAAGAAACCGGATCTAAAGAGAAGGTCCAGTCAAAAGCACCAGGATCTAAGGAAAAGATGCAGGGCAAGAAGGCCAGGAAATGAGGAGCCTATAAATTGGAATTCTAAAAAATAATCATCGATCGTTACTTCTGACAACTGATAAATCTTTAGACCCACTTGCTACACTTGTTCAAGTACTCACTTACTCTAACAATTGTGCAGCATTTGCCAAATTTGTAGTGTTTATCACCCCCTTAATCACCTTTCAACGGGAAGGCTCTCCGCTGGCTCAAATCACAGCTACCTTACGGTTGTGTTCAACAATGTCTTTGTACTGAAGGGGCAGGCCGCTAGAGTATTATTCACGTTTCCCTTGTACGTCTTACGGCGTAACCCTAGCTATTGCGAAGTACGAGCGACGGCGTTTTAAGGTTATCATATCCATGATGCGGTATAACAATACCCACAAAAAACTTATGGTTGTGAAGTTGAATGTATGATGTAATGATTACTTCTCTGTAAGGTAAAAGGTCCTGGAGGAAAATCACTGTTGTGACGCTCAAGTGAGACCGCCTGACAGGGGTGCTAGGTCCTTGCAAATGTAGCTTCAACAGCTTCAATAGCTTCGACTATCCCGTTCCCAGCAGGCTATTGTTTGACACCCTCTTATCTGACGTTCTCTTGCCTTTTCTTTCCGCGCTTGGTCTCCTATTGACTTACAATCAGCACAGCCGCGTTATGAAGGTGAGCAAGCCCTTGAAGCCACAAGTCAGGATGCGCTCATAATAAGCCTTTCCATCACTAATATTGCCTAGACTGCGTCAGAAGGGTGACGCCACGCTCCTGAATCGAAATGCGCGGCGACAAGGCCCCTGGCCTACTATTTACAGCGATGGGTTCGTTGCATCAGCTGGCCCGCCCACCGCGGGATGTGGTGCGTGGCTGGCCTAACGTGTGAAATCAGCTAGGTTGATTGCCGTATCAACCGATGGAACGGCTGGCATATCCGGAAAACTCGTTTGGACGTGCCTCTCCCCAAGCAAGCCTCCTTCACTGCTAGTGGGAGTTTTCGGCCTTGTCGACGGTTTTTTCGTTTTTTCTCCACTGTCGTTCCACTTCGCATCTCTATACTCAGTTTCAATCGCCATAATACCCCATTATTGAGCCCGACTTTTGCCTTTAATCTTTGCGTATTTGCCCAACCTTTTCTTTTTCCAGATCGGTACCATCCTTTTCTCATCGCCTACTCGCCTACTCGCCTAATCGATGCGTATAATTTTCTCCCAAGGCAGCGATTACGATAAGTTCAAGAAGAGACGACACGTGGTGGTGCTCAGTGGTACGTCGGTGGCGAAAAAGCGGAGAAATCCGTCAAAAACGCAAAATGGGACCCCTTTTTGGCCGTTGGTTTTCACTCATGAACAGGTGACAGCTCAGAAAGCGGGCGTATGAACGAGTTCACCGCAACGCGTTTGGTGACACCATGCCAAACCACGCTCCAATAGATCGAACCGAGTTGCTCCAGTCTTATCCTTCTTCCACTGTGAACCCGACCGAATCCTATCGTGATCCCTCGCTTCAAGGAAAACATGTACATCAGAGATTAGTAACGTCGTCGCCATGTCTCAAGTGAGAAGTATTAGGATGTCCCATAAGTTCGTGCCACATTTTGGATGTCACCGGTGGACAGTTTCCTCTCGACTGCAATCTGTTCTTGTTGATCACATGTAACCGTGCGGACAAAGGGATCCTCGATAGGACAAAAGTTCCTCAGAACGGACACCTTTCGGGCAATGACAAGTCACAAATCATAAAAGAATTTTATGATTTATGATCTTTCGGTGATCATTCCAAAGCCCTGTTAGATCCAGTCTCGCAGCAGTCACGGCCTCACTTTTCCACCGGCTCTCCTAAATCCCCGTTTAATCCTTGGATTACTATTTGTTACCGCTAGTGTATTCGCCACCAATCGACGCGAATTCTCTGGATACTCTTCGTCGAATATCTCGCGGCTCCTATAATCGATGTCACGCTTCTACCTAATTATTTTCACAGCCAGCTTTGCTTATTTAATGTGGAGATGTTACTATGTTCAACAGTTGTTGGCAATGTGCGAGGATTTTCAGCAGTTCCAATCGAAGAACCAAGGTAACCGCATGCAGTTTTGTGACTTTCATCGCGCCATTTCGTCGAGATGTTTCAGTTTATTAGGAATGTTTAAGAAGGATAGAAGGGGACAGTGAAGTTGCTTGACAGCTGGATTTTAGCCCTGTTCTGGTCTTCGAATCGATTTGCCAGATCAGAGCTCCGAGTTGACGGGGAGCAAGGTTTTGATACGTATCCAAAAAAGCATACCTTTTCGTTCAGCAACTTTAAAATCCAGGAACACCCACCTTATCAGCTCCAGGATCGCCTTTAACATGCTGTCTAGTGGCCAATTTTGTATCTGCTATAGGTGGCTGTTTCATGTAGTATGGAGAGGGGCGGGTTATTTCAATCAGATTATCTCATTAGATTAAAGCAACACCCCCAGCAGAAGTCGTGTCGAAGAATCTATTCAGTGGGTGGGATAGAGTAGCCCACGAGTAGCACAGATGTGCCGTTGTCGCGGCTCGAAAGTGCGCGACAATGGCGCTAGGGTCTTACAAAGTCAGCATTTGGCGACTAATCTTAGCATTTGGACGAGTTACGTCGCGCACACCCCATGACACGCAACGTGGATTACGGCGTAGCGGCTAATTCAAATACGCGCGGGTTAGTTGAGCCGTGGAGCAGGCAAGTTCGTACAACTCGTCTGGCCCCGCCCCTTCCTTTTCAAGGGAATTTTTGTTTGGGCTTCATCGACGGTTTTCTTTGCTTC